TTATGGGGGGTGACTGTAAGGAGATGACGTGGTCTGCTCATGTGCTCTTTGTTATCTGGGGACTGAGCCAGAACTGAACCATTCCGAGCCCTACGGATTAACTAGTATTAGTTTAGCGCAGTTTAGTTGTGTCTGGCACGGTCCGGTTCAGTTTTGCATGCCATTTACACTAAACAGTTATCTCGGTAACTGGGATCTGTGGGTCCATGGCACGGTTTCAAAAAGGTAGTTTAAATGGGGCCTCAGATTAAAGAGTGTAATGAGTTAAATACGTGGAACTGAACCAATCACTGGTTTGGAACTAGTTTATAGAATAATCATCTTAATGTTAGTTGATTGTTCTTTACACAAGTACAAAAAAATATGCATCAGCAACAGAGTTATTTTATGTTTATGTTATTTTATATTTATGTTAAGGCATGTAGGAAGATTGTCACTAGGGTTTATAACGGTCCTTTGAAAAACGGAATTGTTCCGTATTTAGAAATAAAAGTATCTGTACCGTATTTAGTGGAAAAGGAACGCACCAACGACCAATGACCTGACAACATACATTTAACAATTCAGAATACCCTCATCCCATTGGTGGAGCCAAGTGTTTCTCACGGAGACGATAGCGGGAGACATTAGAGCAGTATGGGGGATGAACGGAGTAATTTAAACGCTGACGCTGCTTTTGGGGCAATGCACCTTCACATAGCGATGCTCCTTCTCCTCCGAAAAAAAAAGGATGCAGAACTATAGGGAGGAATGGGAAAAAACAAATACCTGGGTGGAAAAAGTCTGAAAGCACATTGCAAATATGCATCTAATTCAATGCAGATTTGAGTCAGACAGTTAAAAAAAATAATTTCACACACAAAGGGGGGCTAAAAAAAATCACCATGCCAGGAGGGGTAAAGGCAATCAGGTCAGCTGGCACGCACATGAGGTGTCCCTAATTGTCACCCTCCCTGTGGCTGCTCCAATCCAATCCTTCACTTTCCCCCTCTAGTTCTTTTTTTTCTCTTCCGCTCACCTCCAGAGTGCCCCACCATTGTAAGCTGACTGCGTGATTTTTCCCACTTTGAAGATGCCAAACTCTCAGAGCTCTTAGACCAAAAAACTAACACAAAATCAACGGTATTCTCTTTAGAGCCTATAAAAATGCACTACAGGATATCAGGACTCATGAATTGTGTGTTTAGAAAAACACAGTTAAAAGTAATCTACCTTAATGACTCAATGCAATCAGTTGGGTTTTCTAAGATAGAAAACTTTTAAACTCTCTATATGATTAAATTGACTTGTCTGTAAAGAGCCTTAAGTTTATATGCATTGTGAATTGGGCT